TAACCTGTTCAGCCAGGCCTGGGGGTTCACACTTTTGACCCCAGCACCCTGGCGAGCTGAGGTGGGAAGGTGGAAAGTTCAAGCCCAGCCTTGCTCTGCAATTCAGCAACCTAGGGAAAACCTCCCCAAAATAAAAAATTAAAAAGGGCTGGGGATGCTGCTCAGTGCAAAGGCCTGGGTTCAGTCCCAGTCCAAAAGATTGTGTTTGGAGTGATGTAATTGAAAAACTTTTCAGGGAGTATCTGGAAAGACTCTTTATACAAAGTCAGGCTGTCCTGAGTGCCGAGGGTCCTGCCCACACACTTCCTACACGGACAGAGGCCAACATTCTCTCTCCCCTTAGGGAAAGTCATATTGCTTGGAAACTCATTTGTTAGGACTATCACTGTATTGAAATAAAATAATATTCCACACGAGCACATGCCAATGCTGGTTCTCATTTTACCTCACCCTCCATGAGAATTTGTGTAATGAAAATGTGGGTCTTTGGTTAACATCCGTTTGTAACATCCTGATTGCTATTTTCTTAATTTCTTATACTAAAATGTCTCAAACTTTCCCTGTTATTACAAAAGGAAACCAGAGGAAAAAAAATTGTATAGAATCATTAACTGAAAAGCAGGCCTTCAGCAGTGAGCCAGTGCAAACCTTGATTTCACAGAGAAAGTGAACCCAAGGATCTATGGAGCCTAGCTGGGTTCTCATAAAATTCTAGAAGCAGCCGGTCAGACCACAACCCCAACCCTGTGCCTGCCTTCTCTGTGTCAGGATGCAGCCTTGCCTGGGAGTAGGGGGGCTCAAGGGTACAGAACCTGCTCAGCAAGTGCCAGGGCCTGAGTTCGAAGCTCAGCACCAATTAATCAATATCTAGCTGAGCAGAAAGAACACTTACAGAATTTTTAGAAAAGCAATCAATTTATGAAAATCTTCTTTTGTTTGTTTTTTGAGACAGGGTCTATGTAGTTCAGGCTGACCTTGAACTCACAATGTAGCTAGGCTGGCCTGAAACTCTTGGTGATCCTCCTGCCTCAGCCTCCTTCATGCTAAAATTACAGGTGTGCACTACCATGGCTGGCCCAATAACTCCTATTGTAATGCTATATTTTCACTGGCTTTTTCTACAAAGACAGACATCTATTTTAAAAGTCTCATTTTTAAAAAATCTCTCTTTTGGGGATTTTTTTCTATTTTTACAATAGGGTCTCACTATGTATTCCAGGCTTACCTTGAACTCACAGCAGTCCTCCTGCTTCATCCTCCTGAATGCTGGGTTTACAGGCGTGTGCCACTACACCCAGCTGATTAAAGCAATTTCCATGTACTTTGTTTGCAAAAGCAGGACATCTACTAAAATTTTTTGGAGAAACTATCAGCCATTCAATTTGGAAACCTCAAGGTGAGAGCTTCTCGTTTGTACCTCATCTTTCACATGCCTCTGATGGAGATGCAGGGCAGGCGTATTCTTGGGGACAATTCCTGGGATGTGTCTTCCATCTCTTGCAAAGAAACCCTAAGAAAGTGAGTATCAGCAAATAGTGGCCATTGTGATTCATCTGGGGGAAGGGGGATTGATTTACTCTGGGCTTCACGCACGCAGGTGCTGGCCCACGAGCTGTGCCCGGGTTTGTGTGGTTGTGAACCAGCACCTGTCACTCAGGCCATCCTGGTAACATCGGGGAAGCACCTTCTCTGGAGGTCCCGAACATTTCCCCATTTTTCCCCTTGACTGTTAATAGTGTAAGAAATAACCGTGTTTCTCCTGGGTGAGAAACAATCTGATGCCTATCTTGACACTTAAGGGAGCCTAAGCACAGAGACCACCACATAAGGATTAAGGAAAACGGGCTCCAAAGCAGCGCCACCCTGTAGAGCCCTGCCCTCGGGTGAGGCTGTGACTACTCGGTGCTCACACCCGGCCCTGTCTCCTGCCGGGTGAAGGTGCCAGCTCTGGGGCCCAGCGGCTCCTCTCTGAGGCCAGGCCTGTGTGCCCCTGTCCTCTGCCTGGGCCAGGGAGGGGAACGGGTGTCCGGCACCCTGTGCACCTCACATGGTGAGGTGTTAACAGCAACAAACCGAAGAGTAGGACGGGGGTCTTCCAGCGGTCAAGCAGGATCCCATGTCCCTCGCAAGCCCGGTCAGCAACAGAAAACTCATACTCCTACCCACGCTTCAGAACAGGTGCCTGTTTTCCAGTTTCCCCCATGGGGTAAAAGAATACATTCTGTGGCTAGGCACAGGAAGTACTGTTTGAGCAGACTCCAGGCCTGCTTCTGTCACTCACATGCACACCCGTCCCCTGGCCCACTATGCTCCACGCACGTGCCCAGAGTGCCGTGATGCAAGCCCGCAAGGTGTCCCAAGTGCTCTCTTCCCGGCGACTGCCCAGCCCAATTCTTCGCCCCACACTTTCGAAGCCCGGGCAGTCACAGCAGACCTTGTCGAGCTGTCAGTCTTGGCCGCACGGAGACACCAGCTCAGCTCAGGGACACCCAGCAGCCACCCAGGTGTGCGCAGCGGGAGACACACCGGGGTCCAGGTGTGGGAGCAAGGCCCCAAGATGAGTAAAAGGCAGTTGCTGGCCTTTAGAAAATAATAAAAACTGCTCTTCATGGCTCATTTCTCAATTTAATTATTAAAGCTCTGAATTGCTATCTTAGACACATCATCAATATAGAAATGGCATGTGAGCTTCTAAACACCTTTCTAAAAAATCAGATAAGTCACCAAAGAAAGGCAGAACTGATGCGTAATATTGAATGGACAGTTCTTGCTAAGTGAATCTTGTTTTGTTTTTGTTTTTACAGCACTGGGGGTTTATCCTATGTAGTGGTGCATGCCTAAATTCCCAGCCTCAGGGGGCTGAGGCAGGAGGATTGCTGCAAGTTCAAACCCAGCCTGGACTATTACATGATTTCAAGGACAGCCTGAACTACATACCCAGACTGTCTCTGAAAAACCAAAAATTAAAAAGTGGGAGCGGTAGGGGAAAGGTAAGAAGGGAAAAGAAAAAAAATATGAGAAAAGGAAAAACATGGAAACAAAGTCTTTGTACACAGGGAAGGGTGGAGGGGGTAAAGGGAGGGCAGGGGAATGGGGAAAAATAAAATCAAGATCTGTCACATAAAGGTACAAGGTCCTAATGATGAATGTAACTATACTGTATACCTAAACTGTACCAATAAACTTTTTTAAAAAATTAAGAAGTCCTGGGGACTGAACTTGGAGCCTACGCCCTGAGCTTCATTCCCAGGCCTCTTTATTCCTCCAGAGACCGGGTCTCCTTTAGTCCCTGCACTGCTGGCTGGGGTCTAACGCGAGATCGCTCTGCCTCAGTGTCCCAGGGGCTGAAGTCACAGGCTTGTGCCACCTCGTCTGGGTCTTGTGGTGTGAACCGAAAGGGCAGACTGAGCAGAAGCAGGGTACGCAGGCCAGCAGGAGACAGCAGATGACAGAAGGGTGCAGCCTGGAGGAGAGGAAATGGGAGCAGAAGAGGCGGGGAGGGCAGGGTGGCCCCCGAGTTCATAGAGCCCAGAGGTCCAAGCTCGGGATACAAACATAACCCAAAAGTCCACCCCAGAGAGGGCAGGCAGAGCCGTGCTTGGCTCCCTTTCCCAAGCATCCATGTTCACCTCGGCCCATCAGCGGCATAGAGCAACCCACACACCTCGGCCTCAAGGCCCCGCTCAGCCTGTGGGGTATCTGTCCCACTGGAGAAAGGCTCTGGCCTGCCCTCTGCCCGTGTCCCCTTCTGAGCTCAGCCCTTGCGCTGGCCCTTCGATGGCTCTTCTGCTCCTTAGTGGAGAACCGCAGTGTCTCACTTTCGGTTTCTACTGCGAATCTCTTCCAAGGAGTCTTGCCCAATCTTCTTAGCAACCTGTCCCCATCACCCTGACCCATACCTAGTTTTATTTTCTTCTTAACACCTGCCACACATCAGGCTTGGTTGCGTAAGCCTGAGGTCCTGGCAGTGGGGAGGCTGAGGCAGGAGGATTGCCAAGAGTTGGAGGCCAGCCCAGGCTACACAGTGAGTTCAAGGCTAGCCAGAAATACATAGCGAGACCCTGCCTCAACAAAAGAACCCAAAATGAACAAACAAAACCCCATCACATTCCAATTTTCTAATGACTTGTTAACTTTTTAGAGGGCATTTTAGACGTTGATTTTTGTATTTTCCCATTAAGATGTAAGCTCTATGGCGACTGTGATCTTCTCTGTCTCATTCATTCATGTATCCTGAGGACTTAGACCAATACTGGCACTGTCTAATGTGACAGCTTTGTGATGTGCAGCCCTACTGGGCTGCACTGCAGTCCCTGAGCTCCTTTCTGCTCTGTTTTTGGATGGGGCTTCTATAAGGCTGGAAGACAGAAGGGAGATGCTGCAGTAAAAGGTGTACACATTCCTCTCAGTTGCTCAACCAACCTAAGCTGCTTTGATATGAAGGTACTGTGCAGATGGAAGCAAAGGGTAGGTTGGTTAGCATTAGATCAGTGCAATACCAAGCTACCTAGCGGGCACAAGAACCTGGGCTCGATTCCGGGGGCTGGGGGACAGAAGAAAAGGGTTCTCTCAGGTGGGCCTGGTTCAAGAGAAGACTCAGGGCTTCCCTTGGCCAGGGGGAGACTCCGAACAGCAGCTCCATGTGCGGGTCTCCGACACTCTGTCTTCCTTCCTGACAGCCGCCCTGGGCATCAGCAACTCCAGTTCACACCACACACTGCAGCCTGCTCAGGGTCCTGCCGCCTGCCCACCCTGTGGGCCTCAGGCCCGCTCAGTGAGCTCCAGAATGGCTCAGGCCAGCTCTGTCTAATGCACACACACACACACACACACACACACTTGCACACGTGTGCACACACACGCACACCACATCCATATTTTTCTGCTCCTGTCTGTGCTGCTATAGTGAGTGTTCTGTGAATGTTTGTTGAATGAAAACATAAATACAATAGACAGAGGTTAACACATATCTATTACTTGTCTATGTGAATCATCCTGGGAGGAAGCAGCTAAAGCCAACAAAAATCTTTCATTATCTGCCAGGGGTTCACAGATCGGGAGATCTGGGGCTGGCGTCCTGGGCAGGTCTCTCCTGACCCCTGCAGAGCTCTCACTCACCGTGACCAGGCCTATGGTCCTCTCGGTGGCCTGCTCCAACTGTCTATGTCTGCATACATGTGTGGATATGTGTTTACCTCAGAGCAGGAAACTGGGTGCATAAGTCATCATCTGTAGGGACGGACACAGCGAAAGAGGTGTTTAAAATTCTTTTTATGTTTAGGACTGAATTTCCACAGGCCTAAATGTGAACTTTCATGTACTGTATTATGTATCCATCAAGCCATTTTTTAAAAAATCAAGTCATTTTTTAAAAAATCAAGAGGGTGCGCTTGTTTCAGAAAAGTAAATCAATACATTATTTTTTAAAGTCTCAAAGACAAAGGCATGTTTCAAGACATAAGACGTTTTAATACTACAGTCTGTTCTCATGGACTTGAGGAGCCATGTGGACACAGAAGAGGGAGACTGATTCGGGGCCACTGATACTCAGGCCCTACAGGTGTTGGGAATAATCGCCAGGTAAAATGAGCCCTGCAAAGATCGTCCTCTGCGTCAGGCCTTTCTTCGGTTCACCTTGAAGTGGTTTTCCAGGTTTAACCTCATTTTTCTGTGCTGCGTGGCAGTGCGCCCGTGAACTCACATGTTGGGGCTCTCTCCCCATGGGACTGCGTGTGGAGAGGCTTCCAGAGAGGACATGTGGTCAAATGAGGCGCAAGGGGGTGCCTGTGTCCAGGGGGGCAAGAGACTGGAGCTGCACAGGGCGGCTGCTGAGGACACCACGGGGCCAGCCTCTTAGCCGGTGGCCTCGGGAAGCCAGCTCTGCCAAGGGCCTGAGTGAATGACCCCGAACAGCCTCAGAGCTGGGAGAAATGAGGTCTGTCTGTGCCTTGCCACCCCAGTCCTGGGGAAAACGACTCAGCCCCTAGGGGCCAGTGCACGGGGCAGAGTCAGACCTACAGTGACTGAGCAGAAGGCTGGGTATTCTGAGTTCTGATGGCACCACCTGAGTCTGTCTGAAAACAACAAAAATGATGAAATAAAACCACCCACAATGCTCCACCTACTCTTTACTTCATAGTACTTTCTGTAATCTTCCTCCATGCACATAGACTTTAAAAACAGTAAAATAGACCCTTTATGTACGTTCTGTAAGTTTTATTCAGAATATTAGTATTTGTATGTAGATATATATGGAAAAAAGATAAATGACTGATAGATTAGACATATATGTGTGCATGTTTACATTAGGAAGATAGATAAAGAAAGAAAGAAAGAAGGAAAGAGAGAAAATGAAGGAAGAGTTAAAGACTGCTTTTTTCGCTCTGTTTTGGTGTGGTCTGGGTATTTGAAACCAAGTTCCTCTATGTAGCCCTGGCTGGCCTCAAATTTGTGATGATCCTCCTGCTTCAGCCTCCCGAGTGCTGAGATTGAGGTCTGAGCTACCACGCCCAGCAGGACTGTGTGCTCTCAAATCCACCTGTTGGAAACTTACCCTCCCTCCCCAAGTGACAACATTAAGGGCAGGGCCCTGGTGAGGGGGATGAGTGCCCTTGAGGGGTCACTAGCTCCCCTGCCTCCTCCCTCTGCCAGGCGGCAGGTGCAGAGGTCAGGAACCTGCCGACGGAAGATCTCCACCCAGACCAGCGCCGTGCTGACCCCGCGCTCAGACTTCCAGCCTCCAGAAGGCAAAAGAGATGTCCCTGTGGTTTTTAGGCCACTCTGTCTGTAGCAGCCTGAACTAAGACCCGCGTGTACATGAGTGCGTGTGCGCGTGTGGATGTGCATGTGTGTACGACGGTGTGTTTCATAGAAGTTGCGATGAGCAAACCAAAACGTCACTGTGTTCTCATTCCGAGACTCGTGTCCGGGGCATCGGACCACACGAGAGCCTGTCCTTCGCCTCGACGTGAGACGCGGGCTGAGGCACGGAGCGGAGGACAACTGCCCCCGTCACTCACAGCTCTGTGAGCCCCGGAATCTCGTCATTTCTCTGAGCTTCAAAATCCTTCTCCTTAAACCATGCTACCGAGACTCATCAAAGTGTCCTAAACCAGAAAAGGAGTCTGCCAGAGCCCCGAGACCTCAGGGGGCCTTGCGGCCTCCAGCCCTTGGCTTCAGTCTTTCAGGTCTGGCAGAGATCTCCATGACACCACGGTTCGCAACCCACCGTCCTGTCGGCCGCACCTTCCAAGGAGAGGGGCGAGAGCGGCGAGAAGGGATGAGGTGAGCACCGACCCGGAGGCTCCCCTGCTGCTCACACCGCCTCTGAATTCATCCCCAGGTTGCAGCTCCGCACCCTGAAGACGTCGTGCATCTTGACCCTGCTACAACAAGGGCCTCAGCTGCAGTGGGGAAGAACAAGGGAAATGGGTGACAAAGGGGAAAATTCTCTCAGGGGAAATATGCTAAAGTATTCTTCGTTGTTTAATCATGTTTACTCTGAGCCAAAGGCTGGGGTTCCACCTTGACTGGAAATAGTCCCAGGGGTTGGATATTAAGGCCGGCTTGTTCCAAGAGCTGTTACATTCTGGCAAAGAATTTGGTAAGCCACTTGTTAAAACAGATGTTATTAAAATTAAACTGTATAAACAAATAGTCATAGCAAAATAAAATATAGTAACTAAAAGTTATTGGTGAATTCTTTGATGATATTGTATTATCGTACATGGTCTTGGGTTATTTAAATTTACGGTACCTGTTCTAAATAGCAGTACACAATCATGCATCTTTCCCCACTGGCTACTTGAAGTCAGTCAAGGCGACAGTGTGGACACCAGGGGATCCATAGCCTGAGCATAGGACCTTTTTTCTAGTCAGCAAGCTGATTGGTAAATATTTGCCACAGCTCCACTGGATACTGCCTTAAAACATTAAGTAAATAAATCTTCTTTGAAAATCTATACAAGGACTTTCAGGGGGCTTGCATGGCCTGAAACAATCTAGAATGATTGTAAGATGTTGCCATTGGTCTCCCCTGGCTAAAGTTAGGGCAATCTGAGCATGAGAAATAAAAACGTCCAAAAGATGTTACAACACCATGAATTTTTTAAAAATTCATGATACTAAAATAAAGGAGAGGAAACATAAAAAGCACTATTATACAGAACACTGCTAGCTAACGAATGTCTAAAACATAGTGGAATGAGAAAAATCACCATTTCGTAGCCATTGATACAGCAAATGAGCAAGGTAAGGATCTCTGGTAAACCAGTATGGGCCGAGGGGTCGGAGCACAGAATGTCCACCTGCTGAATTCTGTCATGGCAGAGAGAGGGAGAGAGGGAGAGGGGGAGAGAGAGAGAGAGAGAGAGAGAGAGAGAGAGAGAGAGAGAGAGAGAGGCCTACTGAACATATCTTACCAGGAAATTGCACTAACATCGTCACTGAAGAGGACACTGCCATGGTTGATGCAATACCCCAACCTCTACCTTCCTAACCCTCTTGCCAAGAATGTTCACCCTGGATGTAATCATGAGGAAAGAAGCAGATGAACCCACATTTTGGAGTGTTCCGGCAAATAATTGGTTTGAACACCTTAAAATACCATGGTATGTCACATATTCAGAAGGGCTGAGGGATTTTTCTTGACTATATTAAAGAAAACTAAAGGAATCTGATCATGAAAATGCAATGCATTATCTTTGTTTGGTTCCTGATTTTTAAAAAAATAGTATAAAGGGTATTCGGGGACAGTGTGGAACATTCGAATATATATTCTATAATTGGCATTAGTGAATCAATTTTAAGTTTCATGAGTGATAATTTTGCAAGGTATTAGGCTTCTTTTCACATGCCAAAGCAGCATCTGCACCTCGAGAAAATGGGCTCACAGGTACAAGTCACAGAGAACACAAATCTGGCAAAATATTAGGATAGGAGAATGTAGACAGAACGCTGCACAGGTACCTTTACATAGCCTTTCATCCTTCTGTTTATGACTTAATGTTGTGCAAAGTAAAAATTGGAGTAAAATACAAAAGCCAGAAAATATGGAGGGAGGGGAGAAAGGAGAGAGGGAGAAAGGAAGGGAGGACGAAGGGGGATGGAGGGAAGAAGAGAGGGAGAAAAGAAGGGCGGAAGGAAGACAGAAAGAAGGGAGGGAAATGAGGAAGGAGGGCAAGGGAAGGATGGCAGGTAAACAACAGGAAACAGCTAAGGGGAGAGATATTTAACCTTGCATTTAACCCTAATCAAGAAAGTTAAATACCCTTGGTATAAACACACCCTATCATAATAGAAAAAGCACACCAAGCAAGGTACATGGAAATAAAAGAAAATATATCAGTGCTTTTTTACATTTGAGATTAACCTAATTTTGATGCATTCATATTATGCAGCTATATGTAACCATCAAAAACACCTTCTCAAAAAGTAATAAAGGTCATAGAGAAACATTCACGACGTTAAGTAGAAGAAGCACTAAATAAAACGTGACCCTCATTTCATTTTTATTATAGCAGTTACAGACAACAAGACACGTAGAGTTTTGGTTTTATGAATCTCGACAGTAGCACATGCTAGTATAACCATCATCCCCCACGATACAAGACGCACTTAGGACTCTTCTTGGATTCTGGATTTTTGTCATTTACCTACACGCTGAGAGTTTTTCCCCTAGGTCACGACTTTTCTAGTCATTTCTGAATGGTGTCTTCTCTGAAATCTCATTTTTAAACAACTTTTTTCTTTTATAATTAACGATTTTTGGTGCTCTTTCCATAAAATCTTTGCCAACTTCAGTATCTTGACAAGTCCCATTTTTCTTGTTCTTGAAGTCTTGTTTCTGGTTTGCAGCTGGGTCTGTGACTCCTCTTCCGGGGGTGCTGTGCACGGAGTGATGCAACTCAGAGCTGTTTTGTGCACCTCCAGGTTTGACAGAAGCTGTCCAAGGGTGTCAGCCTCAGTGGACTCCTCCCCAGCACCTGAGATCCCCTGCAGCAAAAACCCACTAAATCAGTAGCCCAAGAAGTGGGAGGAATTCCACATAACACGCCAAAACCTCCTCCCTTGGGTTTGAAATTATGATAGAGAACAAAGGGGCCATATCTTAAACAAGACCAGATGCAGTCGAAGAGATGTAGGCACTTTTTAGCTCCTTGGTCTTCGATTCTAGTTACACACATGCATGCTTTTCCTTGGAGACTAGGAAACTTCCTGGATCATTCTATTTTTCTGATGGAAATAGAATTGAGCCTCTAGAATGTTATCCAAGCCATCTCTGCCAGAGACAATACATAGGGACAGGTGGATCTCTACATGATCTAGTATGGAAATGCTAATGTTAAGGAACCACTGTGTTAGGAAAACATTAATACAATGCAATTTGCTGCATGTAGAATATAGCTTAATAAAAGGAACCCAAGAATAATTTATTTGGCATGAACAGAGTTTCGCCCCAAAATTCTCAAAATATTCTCAGAGCAGGGGCACTGGCATCACAGCTAAACTTGTCAGAAATAAAAATTACGGGGCTCTGGTCTGTCCAGCTGGATCAAAAGCTCTGGGAGTGGAGGCTGGAAAGCGTTCAACAACTCTTCCAGGTGACCAAAGTGCTGCGTAGGCACCAGAGCTACTGTCTGTGGAAGACGCCTGTGCCTCTTTGCCACCTCTTACCCACAGCCTCTTAGGTTCGCTTCCCCCCTGTGCTTTCATTTATCTCTCATGTCCTCTCATGGCTCCTACTTTCTTCCTTCCTCTTTTCTCTTCCTCTATCTACCTATGTCTTTCTGTTCTACTTTTTCACTTCCTGTTTCTTTCCTAGCTTGCTTTCTCTTTGAACTGTCCCCTTCTCCAAGATGCACACAAATCTAGCCCTTCTGCTCAGAAGTTGCCAACCTAAGCAAGTCTGTCAAATGGCCACGGTCAGCATTATAAAGAAGTGAAACAGTGCATCAGCTGCTCTGTTCTTAGAACAATGCAGCTGGGAGGATAGAACCAGGCCTGGTACGCTCGCTGGAATCAGTGTGACCCTAACCATGGAGAGTACGCCTGACTCTCACATGCTGATTTGCCACAGAATATCTCCTGTCATAGAAGAGTACAAGGGCTTCAGTCCAGAGCCAACTTACCGGGATATCTGAGCCCTGTGTTAGGATGATGTGCTCACGCCTTCACCATATGATGTAGCTAAGAACCATCCCGGCAGGGAATGCATTACAACACTAATAAGCACTATACTCACTAATATAAATAATATAGATTATTTAATCATTACACTAATAGATAATACTAACACTCATAAAACATTGTTCTTTGGTTGAGCTGGAGTATTTTGTCTTTATTTTAATAGTTGCCTGTAATTGTTTAGTATTAAGTATGGTCTGGGCCTTTTACGTGACCTTTACAGTTATTATGCATTTAAATCTTCCCACAAACCCATGAGTTCAGGACTATTATGCTCTTTATTTTGCAAGCAAAACTGGCATTACAGAGAAGTTAAATAATTTATCTGGGGTTATCTTGTAGGGAAGTAGTACAAATGGGATTTTCGTACAGGCATCTAGCTTTGGGGTTTGTTGTAGTCAGGGTTTTGCCAAAGGACTATATTTACTACAGGACGCATAATTCATAGGATTACTTTATGATAATTACCCCCAAAAATCAAATGCAAAGGAGTGCAAGAGACCAACCACACACTAGAAGCCCATCAGCTGAGGGCGTGGGTCCTAAAGTGTCCCACACAAGTTCAGCTGAAAGCCTAGAGCCCAAGGCAGTGTCCTCCTCGAGTCCAGCCAGTGGCCTGGAGCCCACAGCGATGTCTCCTGCTCGTCTGCATTGAGGATCTGCACCCCGAAGGCCCAAAGGCCAGTGGTGGAAGCCAGAAAACCTACGCCGGTGAGGCTGAGGGATCCACTTTGGAGCCAGGAAGTGATGATCACAGTGAAGACCAGAGCTCCCCTGACAAGAACAGCAGCTGTTCCCTGGGCCAGCAAGGTCCTGAGCTCCTCCTCTGACTAGAACAGCTGAGTTCACACCAGGAAAACCATCCACAGCAAGCTTCTAGAAAGTCAACAACCCCTGATCTTCCCCTCCAGGTCTCTTTTTGTGCCTGTTGAGAGCAATCCTCAGGAGGGTCCTCCAGGACCAGACCGGGCTGATTCTGTTCAGCTGGGCCTTACAAGTTGCCCATCAGTCAGTCCACCACAGGGCTTACATCACGATGGTGATGTTACACTGTGAGAATGAGTCAACTGACACGCAGAGTGCCTGAATTTCATACGCCTTCATACTTCACATGAACAGGCCAGGTTCATTCAGTATTTCCCAGTCCTAACCATTTCATTTGGAAATAGTGTGCTGAGATAGGACAAATGTTAGTCCGGGAGCCGCGAGTGATTCATTT